CCCATGTCCACCCCCCGCAGGACTTGAACTCACGGCCATACTCCGGGGGGAAGAAGTGCATGTTGCGCTGCTCCTCTCTCTCGGTGCGGATGGGGCTGCGGAGGTGGTCGGGGAGGGCTGTGGGCGGGCACGGGCTCAGCGATTCTCAGCCAGCTCGAGGCGCCTCTACGTTTGCTCCCAGCAGTGCAGCCTGCCTGGGCCGGCAGAGCCCTGCGCCCCCTCCCTCAGGGGGATTCCCCCGTGCCCCACAGGCTGGGGCCAGGCCACGAGCCATGCCAGGCCCGCAGTGCCTAGGCCTGTCCCCATGCTGTGGGGAGCTGCACCCAGGACAACCCACAGTCAAGGGGGCTGGGAACAGTGCCCGCCGGGGGGATACTCACCATTTGCAAACACCCGTTGCCAGACTGCAGCGGGGGCAGGTCCAGAGGCGACGCAGTGTGACACAGTGCAGCGGGGGGGAGAGGGGACACAGCATGACCCCAGCCCTGGCACACTGAGCACCACAGCCCTTCGCAAGCCATTCGGTCCATTCGGGCCATTGCCCTCCCCTACCCCTCAGCCCGGCAGACCCCTCCCTCACCCAAGCCATAGCAGCCCAGCCGGGGAAGCCTCCTCACCCTGACTGCTGTCCCCACCAGTGCCCCAGCCCTGGCAGTACCTGACCCGATCTTGATGAGCCCGTTGTGCTGGATGAAGATGGTGTCGCTGGTCAGGTTGCCATGGATGATGGGTGGGTCGCAGGCATGCAGGAAGCTGTGGAAAGGACCGGCCCCACTAAGCTGCTTGCGGCCTGGCCTAGGGCAGTGCGGGGGTCGCAGCCTGGGGCAGGGGCTTACCTGAGAGCCGAGAGGATCTGGGTGCACCAGCGCTTCCAGGCCTGGGGAGAGATGGGAGCGTCCGCATGGACGGAGGAGCCTGATCAGCACCCGGGACCCCACTGCCCCAATGGGGGAGCCCAGCCCCGCCAGGGCACGGGCAAGCCCCACCACAGGCCCCGGTGCTGAGCACTGGCAGGCCGAAGGCGACATGCCCACTTCTGAAGCTGCGTCTGTCCCTGGAGCCAGGACTTGCCCACACGAGCGAGCAGGGAACAGGCTCTCCTGTAACCCGACGCTGCCTGCACGGAGCGGCTCCTGGCACGGCGCCCGCAGCACAGCAGTGTTTACCAGCACGGCCAGGAGCAGAGTCCTGCAGCGCTGGGCCAGAGCTCTCCTGGTGCTCGGCGACGCTCCCGGCCAGGGAGGGCTGTGGCCCAGGCTTGGGGAGCCCAGGCATCGAGGTCATCCTGTGCCAGGCGGTGGGGGAAGCTGGTCTCTGGTCTGGCCCAGCACTGGGGGGAGCGGGGCTGAGGGCCCCACACTTGTCCCTGCAAGGGTGTCTGCACCCAGATCCATGGAGGGGGCTTCCTCCCCCTGGCACTAACTGCACCCGTCTATGCCATGCGCAGCCGCCCCCAGCCACTGCCGGGAGGGCAGGAAGGGGGGTCTTACCCGGGCGTTCATGGCCTTATGATTCTTCTTGGTTTTCTTCAGGAACTGCTTCAGGCTCCCCGAGGACACGTACTCCGTGATGAAGATCACCTGGCAGGCCGGGCGCACAGCATCAGCGGGCCGGTGCCCAGGACAGCGCTGCCCACCCTACAGTCTGCGGTGGGTCCCATCTGCCCCCATGCGCAGCCACCCCCGGCCCCGGGAGCTGGATCTAGGGCTGGCCAGGGAAGGACTGGAGCCCTGGGGCCCCCCCGGCCGGCACTGACACCCCTCAGGGCAGGCACCCCTGTGATCGCCCCTCCCCACAACACCCAGCAGCCCTTACCCGAGCCTTGGAGTCCTTGGCGCCCAGCCAATACTTGTGCAGCTTCACGATGTTGGGGTGGTCAACGAGCACCAGCTGCTCAAACATGGTCTTGATCTTCTCCTGCAGGGACGGCAGACAAGGGGCATCTCACAGCCACTGCGGCAGGCCAGGGGCAGAGGGTCTTGGGGAGCAGGGGAGGGTGGCGCAGGGCTGTCTTGAGGGTACAGAGCACCCGGGGGCTGCACAGGGTCTCTGGGAGAGCAGGGAGCCAGAGCAGCTCGGTGCCTGGCCCAGGAAGCAGGGATGCCCGGGGTCCCTGGGACTGCCCCAGTGGGCGCTGGCAGAAGAGCTTGGCTATCGCTGAGACCCTGGCCCGGGAGCCCATGCTGTGAATTAGCTAGGACGATGGGCACATGCAGATCCAGGCTCTCCAGGCGCAGGGGGCAGGGGGCTTTCCCAGCCGGCTCTGCCCCATGGGAGACAGGAGCCACTCACCTCATGGGCCTTGAACGCCTTCTTGTCACAGAAGAGCAGCTCGTTCCACACCACCTCCACGCCCTCCTCCGTGTCCATGGCCAGGAAGGTGCTCTGGATGCCGGGGATGTTCCCCTGGTTCACCTGTGGGAACCGGTGGGTGTGAGGCTGCACGGCCAGAGCCCTGCTCCCGGCAGGCTGCGGGGCTCGAGGCTCCCTGGCCATCAGGCAGGGACCGCTCAGCCAGGGAGCACCGCCAGCACCCCATGCATCCCCCTCCCGCGCCAGGGACTGCGCCGCGCCACGCCGTGCCGGGCAGGGATGTGCTCCCGTCTCCCCCTGGGAATGCACACTCCTCTCCTCCCCAGAGCAGGGGGGCAGCTCCCGCGCCCCCGCATGCAGCTCCCCATGGTGCCCACCCCAGCTGCTCCCTGCTGAGGACAGACAGAAAACCCCAGCAGGGGTGCAGCCCCACGGGGGCCAAGGGCTCCTGCAGCCAAAGCCAGGGCCAGAGCTCCCTTCTCTGTACCCCTGGGGGAGAGGACAACAATCGCTGTCACACGTGTGCACAAGCGTGCCGGGACCCATGCCCACGTGCATGCACGGTGGCTGCACAGAGGGTGGGCAGAACTCGAGACACCTCTCAGAAGACTCCCAGCAGCTGGCAGGATTGGACCTTGAACCCAGCCCGACCCCCTGGCCTCCCCCAACCTGCTCCATCTGCCCAGGGCCTGCGGGCCACCGGGGAGGGGGCAGCCCCCAAGCCAGGCCTGGCAAGGAGTGGGGGAAGCACCACGGTCAACGGCCAGAGTGCCCATCGGCCCAAGCCCCTGAGAGAGCGAGCGGCGCAGGCCCAGGACCACTCCCCACTTTCCGCAGCCGGGACGCGAGCCCATGCTCCAGGGTCCGATCGCCAGGCCCAGCATGGCCCGGGCAGCCTGTCCCGGCGTAGAATGGCGCAGGCGCTGCAGGAATGACACAGCAGTCCCGGTGGGCTGGGAGGGTGGCGGGGCCAGGCAGGCAGCCCGTGGCCTGTTCCCACAGCAGTGAGGCACAAAGCGCCTCTATTCTCCCTTCTCTGCCCGCCCAGGCTCCACGTGTTTCACACAAAGACCAGCACAGAAACTGGGGATGCTGCCAGGCAGCCCAGCCCGCCCGGGTCAGCTCCCTCCCCGCGTGCTGGCAGCGGGTTCAAGGGCACCGGGAGCGCAGCCTGGCAGCTCGCATGCAGCAGGCGGGGGATGGATGGGGCCCGTGTGCAGCTCCCCAATCCCCTGCCTCCAACGTGACCCGCGGCCCCAGGGAGCCCGTCCCTGGGGACAGCCCCGGTTGCTCTCCGTCCTAGGCTCGGTGCATGCATGGGAGGGGGTAGCAGGCACGAGTGTCCCACCCTGAGCGCACCAGGATGGGGGGCAGCTGGCGGCTTCCGGGGGCTCGATCAAGGGGCTGAGGAAGCAGCTCAGCAGGGAGCGTGTGGTGCACCCCCAGCCATGGAGACTGGGAGCTGCTGGCCCCAGCTCCTGCAAACCTTCCCTGGAAAAATCACCTTGCAAACACCATCACGTGCCCATGAGCCACCACCAGGCTGCAGGGCAGGGCCCAGGCCCACAGCAAGGGGCTGCTCCAGGGGAGCGTGGCCAGCAGGGCCAGCATGGCTCTGGGACAGCCGTCTGTCCGTCCGTCTGTCCAGGCTGCGCACTGACACGCCAGGCTCGGGCTCCAGGCGAATCACTGGCTGTGCCAGGGTCTCGGCCGCTTGCTTTGATCCCCGGACGAGGTGCTCGGGTGGGGCTTCCCCCCAGAGCCGGCGCAGGCGGCAGGGAGCTCGGCAGGGCCGGTTGGCTGTTGCCCTGTCATTGCGACCCTGCCCCAGGCGGCTGGCAATTGTCTGACCGCGCGGGGGCTGCGCAAGGAGCACCCGGCGCCCCATGACCAGGCCAGGCTTCAGCGCAGGAAGCAAACCCCTCGCCCAGGGCAGCGAGGGACTGCGGCCACCCTGGCCTGGGAGCCACGCGCCGAGCCGGGGCAGAACGCAGCACGGAGGAGCCGCCGCGTTTGCCCGGTTGTTGCTCACAGCCTCCACACCAGTGGGCAGGAGAAACTGGTGCAGGTCCCCCTCGCTTGCTCCCCACCATTCAGGTCTGCCCAGGCAAGTGCTTGTCTAACCCCAGCCCCAGCAGCTCGTCTAACCCTGGTCCAGGCGGCTGTCACAGCTCCTCTCACTACCTGGGGCCAAACAGGTGCAGGTGCAGCCACCCATGGGGAGAGGACTCGCGTGCGATGCCCTGCAGCTCTGCCCAGCACTGAGACATGCTCCTGGCCCAGAGCTGTAATGGGGGCAGCTGGGGAGGGGGACCAGAGGGGCACCAGCCCTGAGTGCTGCTACGAGGGGGCACCCAAATCTGCCGGGAGTCCTTCCACAGCAGGGGCTGCCCCGCACAGCCAGACCCAGGATGTGGCAGCTTAGCCTGCACCCAGCAGCGGGTCTGGGGGCAGCAGCATGGTGCTTCCCCCCCAGGGCACTGCAGTCACAGCAGGTGCAGCCCTGCACCCGACAGCACGCCAGCTCAAGCCCTTGCTGCCCCACCCGCGCAGCTGCCTCCAGCAGGTGACACCTCCCCCCCAGCCCTGCAGCGGTCACGTCCCTGCCCCGCCGCCGGCGCTCTCTGGGCGTCGCACGAGCCCGACTGCCTGGCTCCAGTGATAACCCCAGGTCCCGCTGGCCCTGCACGGGTGTGATGCCTCCGCAGCAAGCCAGCCGCCCAGCTCCACCCTCAGCACTCGGCTCAGCTCCCGACATGCAGGGCTGCCATGGCCTGGACACTGCCAGGACAGGGGGTCCCGGGGGCCTGCCATGCCCCCAGCCAGGGCAGGCAGAAGGAGCTAAAGCAAATGCCACAAAGGGGGAGAATTTGCTGCTCTCCCCACACTTTCTGTGCATTGCATCTCTATGCCAGGTCGCAGCCTTCCACCTCCAGCTCTCGGAGGAGCGACATGATAGTGAACCTGCCCTCGCTGAGCAGGCAGTGCGTTGCGGGCCCATCCTGGACGCGTGCCCCAACTACGCTGCAGACAGCAACCACGCGTCCCTGCAGCAAGGGGCACCCGCTGCGCCCGGGGCCTGGCTCAGCCACGCCAGCACCGTGGACAGCCCCGAGCTCAGCAGGTGTGGAAGGGGCCGGCACGGTGGCTGCTGGCAGAGCAAAGAGGGACAGCGGCACTCCCTGGGCACACACGGCGCCAGCCCCCCCGGCCATACCCGGACAGCCTGGCTGGGATGTGGCGGAGCTGCGGGAACAGATCAGAGAGCAGGGCATTGCTGGTGGAGCACGTCCCCCTGGCGCCCAGCCCGGTCCCCCAAGCCAGGACGAGCCTGCGGCTGCGGCTGCGCTCCCCAGGGGCTCCTTGTGTTCAGTCACCAAGGAAGCACCCGGGGCCTCGGGGAGACACGGGGGATGATGCAGACCATGCTCCTCGCAGAGCTTCCTCCAGGACAACGCCAACGAGGCAGGGCTCTCCTTGTCCCGTGCGCCCCGTGCCCAGCCCTGCTCCCAGCTGGATCCCTCGGTCCTCGCAGCTCTTGGCACTCCCCTCCCTTTGCCTCTCTGCATGGCTCACCTGGCTGCTCCATGCAGCACCGCTGCCACTGCAGCTCTGCACCAAGGGGGTGGCTGCCGGCGCTCGGGAGCTATTTTTAGGCACATGTAAAAGAAGGAAGCAGCAGTGGGAGAGTGGGGAGTGCCCAGCGGCTGCCAAGCCATGGAGAGCCCAGGAGACACTGCACGGCTGCAGCAGGCGGCACTCGGGGGCCTGGGCATGGCCCTGCAGGCAACATGTGCCCGAGGGGTGAAGGGGACACGCCGCAAAGCCCCCAGCACCGTCCATGCACAGTCCTCTGCTGCCGAGCAGGGAGGGGTCGGCCCATGGCTGCACCGAGTCAGTGCCGGTGCCCCAGGCCACGAGGCCTCCTGGCCGTTTGTCACTGGTGGGTGGGGACGCAGCAGCCAAGTGCAGAGGAACATGTCATGGCAGCTGCCTTCTGGAGCGGGGGCCCACGGCATCGCCCAAGGCCACCCCGCCCTGCCCACCAGAGCTCGCAATCCTGCACGCCTCCAGGAAACTCCCGGGGGCAGCTCAGGAACAGCCTTGCACGGTGCCCCGTCCCTGCCCTCCAGCACGGCCTGCGCTGGCTGCCCCAGCCCCAGCCAGGCAAAGTCCACGAGAGCCAGAGGCCAACAGCAACACGCAGCGCCGGCCGGGTCTGCGGTGCCTGATAAGCCTGTTTTCTGCGTCTGATCCAGTTACGCTGTCCGCGGATGAAGAGAACATGAGATGGAAAACGTTTTCATTTCAGCGAAGCGTTGGATGCTGAACTGGCTCGGCTTGTATCCCAGCCGGCCAGCCGGGGCTCCAGCCTGCCGGACGGCCCAAGACCGCAGGGGAACGCGGGGGCAGCGGGAAGCGGCACGTCCCGTGCGACGGGGCAGGGGGCGGCCGGGATGCTGCATCACTGGCAACGGTGGATGAGGAGGGCAGTGAACCCCAGCGAGGCCAGAGAAACAGCAGTCACAGCCCAGGGAGAGCGGGAAGAAGCCCGGACAACAGGAAGATAACCAGGCCTCTGCTGGAGGGGGGCAAGAGAGACAGAGGAGAGAGGGAAGGAGAGGGAGCAGCTGCCGGACTCCAGCAATCCCCTCGCCCCGTTTCCCTTCCCTCTAGGGTCCCGGCTATGCCCAGGCCAGGCTTCACTTGCTGGGGGCTGCTGCTCAGCCTCTCCTCCCTGCCAGGAAACCGGGAGCGGGGGAGTTTTCCCCGTGGGTGGCCTGGGTCCCATGCAGCAGGCAGCACAAGTGCAAGCGCTCCCTGGGCGGAGCATCTGTCGCAGCACAGCTGCCTGGCCCCGGGACAGGGCCTGCCCGGGCAGCCGTCCCAGAGGAAGTCAGGCTGTGCGGTCCCGGCTGGGGCTGCGAGGGTCACTGCCCGGGCACGGCGAGGCCCCATCTGCCACGGGGCTGGCGCGGCTCCGACGCCGGGGAGATCCTGCACCGCAGGCTGGGTGACAGCGTCTGGGCTGGGCTCCCGGCCAGGGCCAGGGCCAGGGCCAGGCACAGAGCTGGCCCCAGGGGAGACAAACCTGCCTGGCCCTCCTTCCCCGGAGCCGATTCGCATCCTGCCTTGTCTCCAGCCTCC